AAGATCGTAGAGTTGAGCTTTTGCTGATCTGCAGGAGAAATGGATTCCGGAGCTGGAGAGGACTTGACGTAGGCTGTTGACTGAACAGTTTGAAATGGAATTGGTGTATTAGCAGCGGAAGAATGGAGAGAAGATGGATGAGGCTCGGTTAAAACTGGCGATCTTGAAGATGGAGGAGAGCGTTGCCTTTTGGAACGTGGTTTATATGAGCGCTGGATTTCTCGATCAGAACGCTCATGAAGATGATACGTAAGATTCGATCTCATGCGGAACTGGCTGTGTCCCAGGAAGGCTTGTCAGTTCGTCGTCTAAAGGAAAGAGCTGGATTTCCGGGATGTCGGACATTATTCCTTGCGGCAGTAATGCATACTGGAACAGCTGATACTAGGGAGAGGTAAGCGGCTGCTTATATACTCTGTTTGTTGATTGAAAGATTGGATGGGCTCGCTCCTCCCTAACTTACGTTTAGGAACTTCATATAGTGTTCTAAGAGATTCCGTTGTACAAGATTTTGGTCCAATAAGTAACACCTCAGTCTTATCCGAATTTAATAGAAGAAAATTACAGGTCATCCAATGTTTTATATAACATACTCTTTCAACTTGGATAATTTAGAGATTTCTTCTGGTCGTGATGAAATAACTGAGTATCATCGGCATAACAGTGGAAACTAATTCCATGTTTTCTTATTACCAGGTGGCAGCATATACACTTACCTAAAGGATTATTAGGAACACCTGTTCAATTTCTTATTAATGCAATTATCTAATCAACCAATCACATGGCAGTTGCTTCAATGCATTTAGGGGTGTGGTCCTGGTCAAGACAATCTCCTGAACTCCAAACTGAATGTCAGAATGGGAAAGAAAGGTGATTTAAGCAATTTTGAGCATGGCATGGTTGTTTGTGCCAGACGGGCTGAGTATTTCACAATCTGCTCAGTTACTGGGATTTTCACGCACAACCATTTCTAAGGTTTACAAAGAATGGTGTGAAAAGGGAAAAACATCCAGTATGCGACAGTCCTGTGGGCGAAAATGCCTTGTTGATGCTAGAGGTCAGAGGAGAATGGGCCGACTGAATCAATTTGATAGAAGAGCGACTTTGACTGAAACCGGGTACCACTCATCTCCTCTACAAATAGGAAAAAGAGGCTACAATTTGCAAGAGCTCACCAAAATTGGACAGTTGAAGACTGGAAAACTGTTGCCTGGTCTGATGAGTCTCGATTTCTATTGAGACATTCAGATGGTAGAGTCAGAATTTGGCGTAAACAGAATGAGAACATGGATCCATCATGCCTTGTTACCACTGTGCAGGCTTGTGGTGGTGGTGTAATGGTGTGGGGGATGTTTTCTTGGCACACTTTAGGCCCCTTAGTGCCAATTGGGCATCGTTTAAATGCCACGGCCTACCTGAGCATTGTTTCTGACCATGTCCATCCCTTTATGGCCATCATGTACCCATCCTCTGATGGCTACTTCCAGCAGGATAATGCACCATGTCACAAAGCTCGAATCATTTCAAATTGGTTTCTTGAACATGACAATGAGTTCACTGTACTAAAATGGCACCCACAGTCACCAGATCTCAACCCAATAGAGCATCTTTGGGATGTGGTGGAACGGGAGCTTCGTGTCCTGGATGTGCATCCCACAAATCTCCATCAACTGCAAGATGCTATCCTATCAATATGGGCCAACATTTCTAAAGAATGCTTTCAGCACCTTGTTGAATCAATGCCATGTAGAATTAAGGCAGTTCTGAAGGCGAAGGGGGGTCAAACACAGGATTAGTATGGTGTTCCTACTAATCCTTTAGGTGAGTCAAAATATTGAAAATAACAGAGGGCCTAACACACATCCTTGCAGCACTCCATAATTTACCTGTCCTTAAATACCAGTGTAATTTTGTAGTCGATCTAAGAGTATTTTATGATCTATAGTGTCGAATGCAGCACTAAGATCAAGTAAAACTAGTATTGAGATACAGCATTGGTCAGAAGCAAGAACTAAGTATTTTGTCATTTTAACGAGGGCTGTTTGTGCTATGATTGGGCCTGAATATGGATGGAAATCTTTTTTTTATGATGATGATAATAATAGGAAGCTTCCAGTAATTATAATGGGGGGAAAATACTAACAAAGTTCAATACATTTACAAGATTTTCTATTCAGAAAATACAAAAAATCTAGTTTGAACTTTCTATTTCTATCTAGATCCAAAGTTTCAAAAATCGAAAGATTCAATGCAATCTCCAAAAACACTTTCTGAAATGACTTTTCCTTTGATATATTGTGAAGTTTTTTTTTTAAGGATACTAAACTAGAGCACTAGTCAAACTAAAGACACTCCATCAAATCTAATAGCAGATAACGGCTGAAAGGTCCTAAAGCTACTTTCCTCAGGAAGAAAGTGTTTCATTGTGAAGCGTTTTCTAATTGAAGCCCTTTATTTTCTGTAAAGTCCTCACAGTTGTGGGTCTACAGGTGTGACCCTGACCTGGGGATATTTCTCTGCTGGTGGTCTTTAGACAGGAGGAATATCCCGTTGTTGTAAGAGGTTTTAGAGTGGCATACAGGATTACGCATGGTTTGAGCTCAGAGCTCTCTATAGCCCGTATGTGTGTTCAGTCTGCAGGTCTCCTTCAAGCCGCAGAGCTTTGAAGCTTTTACCGTGCTCCTGCAGTGATGTTCAAAGAACAGCCCTCTCTCTCCTCTCCCTCCTTCATTACTCTGCTCCTCCAGTCCTCTCACCCACTCCTTCTATATCATTAATAACTGGCTATGACTCCTGTGATGCAGGAAGGGCCTTTAAATAATGAATAAGCTTTCCTCAATAGGAAGTTCCATCCTATTGTCTCGGGCGCTTGAAACAAAGGTGGAGATGAAAGGACAATGCTTCTGTGGATAAATCTGAACTGGATTCAGCTTAGGTTTGTCAAAAGAGATACAAGAAAATCTGACATTAACAAGATGGAAAGAGCTTTATAATACTAAAACAAAAGAGAACGTCAATCCAATTGTTTTAGTGACATTGTAATTTTACATACTGTATTACTAAATTAAAGCAATGTGCGGTGGAAGTGCTCACAGAAGTGACATTTGATTATATTGAATGTTTTTTTTTAATTTTGTACATTACAGTGTGTGGTTTACAGTATGTTCGGTTTCAATTTATTGCATTTTTTACTATCATTTATTACTCTGATGTGTTAACTTTGTCTATATTTATTAGCTACTGTTCTTGTCCATGATCTAGTTTAGTAGTTCAGATGGTTGGGATATTAACATTATATCAGTTACTAAAATATGCAGATATGAGCTTTCTGAAACATTGTCTCTGGCAACTGCAGCTGCTGTGTGCTATGTGGGACACTGCAGATAATAACTGGATTAATAAATCCTAAAAATAAAATATCTATTATATTTTGATGCTACATTCCTTTAGAAAAACCACTCTACCGGTTGCGGGTGAGTCAGTAGGGTGTTAAAATATCGAGCGATACTTGCAAAACAAAGTGAAAGAGAAACAAAGAGATTTAAAGCGAGCCACAAAATGATGGCCTAGTTCAACATCTGACAGTATGAATCATCATGTGCCCTACTTCTGTGTTAGCACTTGGCACTCGGTGGATCTGTCTGAGAATCTGTCCTTTCCCCTTTAGGCATCTTGTACACTGAGAACTCCACAAGGTGTCTGTCCCAATCACAAGGCCAAAACAAAACGCATAAAATTAATGTAGTGAAAGAACACTGTATATTATCTGCATGAGAGATCACAGTTGATTGATCGTTTTGTGTAATTTTGTGATATTTATGTGTGGTTATGTAGGTCATTTAGGAAGAACAGTGTCACGTTTTCTCCTTCATGGCTGTGAGAGCAGTTTCAGGTGTCAGACACATGAAAACATGACCCTTAAGACTCCTTAAACAATGAGAACAATGAAATGAGACTGCTGTAAAGTCACCTGACAATGTAAAGGTCAGACATTAATTCATCTGACAGGTCACAGTAAAATGATATTAGACTGTGATCAGGTTGCATTTCAGATTTCCATACTAATATTGCAATACACCCAAAAATTCCCTTTTGCTGAATGAATTTGCATGACCCACATTAGTTAGGCTCCTTTTTTTAGTATAAGGTCAAACACCTCATAGACGACTTTTAAATATGTATTTATACCTTTCCGACCTTACATGCAATTAATAGTTGACCTCTGGCATGTTTTGAAGCGTGCTTATTAGTTATAATTCAAATACAGAAGGCCCAAATGATATTTTCAGGCTAATTTCATTTCCATTGCAGATGTCATGATTTTATGCTAATAAGTAAGAATCCACTCGAGGAGACAGTGATTTGTTCTTGTACCAGCAGCCTTTATTCATATGAAGCATGCATTAATGGATGAATCACAAATATACATCTATACTTTTAAGAGCTCAGCCTGCCATTGGAATTATAATGATACAAAAAGCCAAAAACATAACTTCAGATCTAAAAATCTACGCATTGCTGCACTCTCCTCCAGCTCACTTTCATTCAAAATTGCTTTCATTCCCATTACTTTATTTATGAAGTTGTATAAGCAGAAGGAATCTATAATACTCTGCTACGTGTTCAAAACTGTGGATTTAAAAGTTACAAATTGTAAATCATTGCAAATGCAGGGATGTTTTGGGCTGTACATGAGTATGTTTTAGATTCTGGGGTGTCAACATTTCATGAGGGTTAAGCATAAAGAGTAGTCTTTAATAAATAACATATAAAGTTTAACATTTTAGGAACTGTCTTAAAGAGCTCTCTTACTTCCAAACACTCCACACACGTTCAGATGTACTTCCTTTTTGTGTTTTACAGGTACCACAGTGTGTGCTCACTGGGATTGGATTCATTTAATGGGTCAGACAACACTTTCACTTTTAATGTACTTCAATTCGAAAACACGAAATCACAGAAAATTCATATTGCCTTATCTATAAGCTAAGGATTAAAGCTCTGGTTTGGTTGTGCTTTAACATGTACACTGTAAGACAAACAAAAATAGTAGAAAAACGGATTAGGTACAGGCAATTTTCTGCCAGGACAGTAGATGTTAAGTTTACATACATTTCCTTCAATCCTAAAACACAGCACAATCCGATGCATAATTCAAAATACATGTAAAACCCTTGTGAAAAGTCAATGCGTAAAAGTCCTTCATATTAACACAGTACATTGTGTCCTATTTTTACAGACTTTTCTTATTGTATCCCTAGATCCAAGCTACACTTAAACGTAAGTTCCATGTGTAGAGCTGAAGTAGTGCACTGTTGCTCTTCTAAACCACATTATGCTATGATTATTCACCAAGAAAAAAACAGTTCTACACTGAGCCCTGCTCAGCCCTCCAGCAGTGGGAGATCCTCATCTCAGCTCACCGGAGCATTTTTGAAGGTGCATTGTGCCAGTGTCTTTTGTAGAAAAGTGCTCCCATTCCCACGACCATGATGCAGGCGAATGCCAGGATGCCCACAGCTACGCCGAGACCCACAGAGGAGTCCACAGGTTGTTTCGTGCTGATTGACACATCTGAGATGCAAAGACATATGAGGTCAGACTGACTAAGCTACAAGCAAAAAGTAGCTACACTCTAAAAAATGCTGGGTTGTTTCAACCCAACTTTTGGTTCAAATATGGACAAATCCAGCCGTTGGGTTAAATTTTTAAAGCAACACCAAGTAACTTTTCCTCTGCGGATGGAAGCGGAATTGTCCATTACCGCTGTCGTAAATAATTTAGCCTACCGCAGCCTACTGTCGCACGCACGCTCGTTGTTTATCCAGCACCGGCTTTGGAATGAACGATGTCCACAGACAAGGTAGAGTATGTTGCATGATTTCATGAAAGTATGATGTATTGCGACATCAGAAATGAAGAAAAACTAAATAATAAATATTGTAACGCTTGACGTAAAGCAAGTCAAATTTGTAGTTTTCTTATGTCTCATTAGAACTACAGAAACTCGACCCGATCTGGCAATTTTACATAGCGCGGTTATAGCAGATATAGGACCGCAAAGCAGAGGCATAAGTGTCTTTCACCCTGTTACGACTTGATGAACCACTGAAACGATTTTGGAAACATTATTTTAAGGTAAAAAATCGTACTTAGTGTTGCTTTAAATTACATTTATAACCCAATGTTCGGGTTTGTCCAACAACCTAGCATTTTAGTGTAACTGTTAAAAAGTTTAGAGGAAGCTATTTCTTTATTTTTTAAAGAAATCACTACTTTTGTTCAGCAGTTTAGGGCATTTATACATGTTATAAAATATTTATATTTCAAATGAATGGTGTTTTGAAATTTCTATTCATCAAAGAATCCAGTTTCCACATAAAAATTAAGCAGCACAACTGTTTTCAACATTGATAATAATAAATGTTTCTTAAACACCAAAGCAGCATATTAGAATGATTTCTGAAGGATCATGTGGCACTGAAGACTGGAGTAATTAAATACATTTCATATTAAAACATTTTAAAATATAATAAAATAGAACAATAACACAACATTACTGTATTTTTGATCAAATAAGTTGAGACTTGGTTAGCTTAAGAGACTTATTTTAAAAACCTTACTGACCCCAAACTTTTGAAGGAAATTTTAAAGCTATTTAATGGAGCAATATGTTTAAAATATATAATTACAAATTTATATTCAAAATATATAATCTAATAGTATTATTATTATAGTAAATTCATTTATTCATATAGAGTGTTTCTTTGACCAAAAAAAAATTAGGGTCAGCATTACATTAAAACAGCTATATTTAAAAAAAAAAAAAAAAAAACTAGAATATGATGTCTAAAACAGTGATAGACAGCAGTGGTTACTGTACATTCATCTATAAAAAGATCTGCCTCACATACGTTTCTTTTTTTTATCTGGTTCATTCACATGATTTATCTGAACAAATTGATTGACTAAAACTCCCCAACACTGGACAAACATTACATGTTTTATATATCATACAGTTAATGCTCACCTTCCTCTTTTGTTGCCACCACTGAAATGAAATAAACAGAATGGAGTCAGTTTCTCAGAAAGCAATGTAGGCAAATTAAAACTCAGTAGTGTTAGATTAATGATTCATTTTGTTTTCAAAAGGGGAAGGAACGTACCGTTCTCTGCACGTATGATGATGGCTGGTGATGTGATGGTAGTGCTGTCTGAGACTCCATTTGAAGGAGTGATGGGAGCAACGTCTCTCCTTTTTCGTTTGCGACATTGCTGTGGAAAGAGCCATAGATCCTGGTTAGTCCAAAAAGTGTCCCGTCCAATATTTGTCTGGGTAGGTGAACTGTATGTGTGTGTTGCTATTTTTGTGGGGACAAAAATATCTTCAAATGCCCCCACAAAAAAAGCAACGCTTGGCAAAACCACTGTATAGTGACACTAACATATACAGCATTATGCAAACATTATGATCCAGACCAAGCCAATAGGTGTTTCTATTCTGGTTAGACTTAATTTAAATTATAAAAGGCTAATTTAAGAAGAAATTATGTAAATGGGGAGTTGTTGTATGTGTGTATGTGTTTACCCTAAATGCAGCGCAGGTTGATATTTCACACAGTCTTGTGATGCAGTGCAGATAGTACGACGACACTGTCTGGTTCTGCTGCTCTGTAAAGCGGAAGGCAGGGAACGAGAACCGAGCAAGCTGCATCTCCCCGTTCACCAGCATTTTAGTGAGCCGATCCATTTCACAACTAATCAAACAAATCATCAAACTAATTATTCTGTCTCAGGCCCTCCAAACACATTCAGATTGATTTTATCATTACAAACATGGCTTTTGTACATGGTGCAATGGTATTATGTTGTTTTGGACATGTACTCTGACTGTACCATGTACACACACCATGATATATGACTATAGTAATTGTCCAGTACTAGGGATGCACCGATATGAAATAATTTTTGAGAGCCTGATTACAAAAACAAAAGCCTCACCATGAAAAGCCATGTCCCAAGCACACAATTATAATGTTATCATTAACATTTTATGTAGCTTATATGACAGACTTGCGATGCACGTTGCCTTTCCCCCCTTTTTTAAGTGATTCCAATCATATTTCAAGCAATTCAAAACCATCATGGCGAACAGTGCGCATCTGAAGTTTCTCAGCTGAAGGATATAATAAATTATTTATCGAGTTTAATATATCGGCCAAATTTTCTTATCATAACATATATCAGCCGATCCTGATATGGTGGCCGATATATCGTGCATCCCTCTCCAGTACCATAGTATAGATCTAAGTACTAAGGTATTTGACACCATCACTGTACCATTAGTACTGCCACAATACATGTTCAAGGGTTAGCATACATCAAAACCGACTATTACTGCATTATGTTTGTAGTTTGGGTTACATTTTGCATTGGATTTATTTGATGGGTCAGTCAATACTTTCACTTTTATTGCAATTAAAAATTTTAGATAATTCATATTGCCTTATCTATAAGCTAAGGGTACTGCTTTATGATTGTAGTTTGGGTTAAAAAAATAAAAACAATATATTAAAAATATATAAATTATTATATAATAATATTAAAAATACTAGTTTTATGATTAAACTTACGGCACGAAGAGGTTGAAGAAGTTGTTGGTGGTGGGTGCGTTGGAAACGGAGGCAAAGCATCTGTCCAGCAGCAAAAAGTACCTGTGAAGGACATAATAATGGTCAACTTCAACACAAAACTGCTCGATTTACTGAATGATATACTCAATGAAACATGTCTTACTGGGAGGTCAAGTTGGTGGCCTCCACTTGCACAAACACATTTGTCCTCAGCTCAATACCAATGGGAGGCATGTGGAGAGGCTGGGTGTAGTTTATGTCCTGAGAAATGAAACAAAATAAATTCAGATAAATAAATATTTTATATTAGCTTTTGTTTCTAGCTGATCTAATCTATGGAAGCATGAAGGTCCAGTTTAAGGATTGACATACACTGAAGAGTCTAAGATTCAGAGTGCTGATGAAACTGCCATTGTTGTCTTTTACAGCAATCGAGGAGGACGCCCTTTGAGAAGACAGAACAAGGTTAAAGTTTACTTGAAACAGCTTACAATACTCAACAGACTAGACATGTGTATATGTGTCATAGTGTTTCTCTATTGTGAATTTGATATTGTCTTCCTGTCCCTTGACGACAACAACAACATGGATGGATTGGATTGGATTTAATGTGTTGTTATAGTGATATTACACCAAGACGCTTATTCCCCAGTGAGTTGTGTTCTTTTATCCCAGGTAAACAGATCTTGCACTTGGTTTGCTAGCTTGAGAGAAAATGAGTGCTTACACATCCACTTGAGTGTTGTTGATCAAGTACTCGAGAGGATAGGAGCACGAGTAGTAGTACTTCAGCTCGGCATTATACGTCACGGTGCCTGTTGTGATGTCACTCGACTTTACAACTCCACTGATGTTGACCGTCTCAATGTTGGAGAAATCTGAGAATACGCCTGTCCCAGCACTCTGATACGTCTGTGGAGAAAAGTTAGAAATGAATTGCATCTAATGCTGTAAAAAAACAGATTGACCCTTTAGTTTAGACTTTGTGTAATACGATTTTTTTTTAAAATATATTTTATGAAGATTATTGGAGTATTTCACAAAATTTCATGTTTAATTCATGTTAAATGTTTAGTTCCCTATCTATCTATCTATCTATCTATCTATCTATCTATCTATCTATCTATCTATCTATCTATCTATCTATCTATCTATCTATCTATCTATCTATCTATCTATCTATCTATCTATCTGCCTTTTTTATATTTTGTGAAATTTACTAGCAATTTCTGAGTGAAAATTGTCTCTAAATCAAAAAAGAATTTCTTCAGTGTATTACTCACGATAAAATTGCTGCCACAGGCATTGGTTGAGTTAAGCGGGAACCTGAATCGGGCCACTGGAGGTGAGACGGTAGTGTCGACGGTCCCCTTGCAATCTGGGTTATTTATGACATTGTTGAGGATCAAATCTGATTCGTTGTAGCCAGTGTATTGAACAGGACAGAATCTGATGGCCAGACTGATGTATTCCGTTCCACATTCCACCGAGATGTCTGTGTACTCTATCGTGACAAGAACGACCGGATTATTTGTACAAAAACTGACATAAAGTCTTGAGGCACACAAAAAACAACAACATTTAAATCGAATAAACGTTTTTTGTTCATCAGAATTTCAACCTTCTGTGTGATTCATCAAAATTATAAATCAAAACTATACCTGGATGTCTGTAATCTGATCCACAATCGCTCTGTGTTAACTGAAAGCTTATGTCGAATTTTGTAGCTAGGAGGACGAGGAAAATGTTGAGGAGAATATATTTCCTGTTGTTTCCTGAATGTGAACCTGTTCATGGAAGAAAATAACACCATATTCAAAATCAGTTAGTCACCATTGGTACATCCAAGAGCTCAGCGCATATCCCACAGTTACACGTCCTGGGACACGTACGCACCTTGTATCATGCTTGCGGTTGGCTTTGGTATCCTCTGCCTATGAGATCTTCTTGCGAATTAAGAGTCTTTTTATAGAGCACTTTCCTTTGTGGGATGGGATTGAATGAAAGAAGGTCAGAGAAGTTTGGTGTGTCCACTGTTCAGGACCAGCCCTTTTGTGAATAAAGTCCCAGAGTCGACCGCCTGAGGGCACTTGCTGAAACTCTACACATGGTGGGCCTTCAAAGACATGCAGTTGACAATGACCTGGTTTCTATGTCTACTTTACTTAAACATGGATACCCTTGGCATGTTAATATAAGACCTCATAGAGTAAGTGTCGTGCCCCAGGGAGTGGAGACAATACGGCGATGGCTCTTTTAACACTGTACGAAATGTCAGGTATCTTTATATTGATCCAAAGGTAATCCTAGAAACACAATAAATAAGGATTATAATGCAAACACGCGTGATTTAGCAATGTAAGTCTAAGCATGTGACTGTTTTAATGTAAAAAACAATATGGATAGACAGCAGAGTTATTTGTTGTTGTTGTTTGTTTACAGTACTTCTGTTATTCGTGGATTATATGTTTCCATGCATGGTAACGTTGTTTTCTTTGGACAAGGGTTTCCCCGATATGACTGTTTTAGGCATTGTTACCTGATTTCTGCGAAATGTTAAAGGAAACTGTACTCTTGACATATCCATTGAAATATTGAATATTATATGAACAGAACCTGACACCATAGAAGAGCTCAAATCAGAGCTCATCATAATAAAATATATATTACAATTTTTGTTTCTATTATTTATAAAGTTAGTAATCATTAAATTTATAATAATAAATAATATATATTTATAATAAAAATCATTTTAATTTTAATATTATTTGAAAATACAACATTTTCTATCAATCTATCTATCTATCTGTCTATCTGTCTGTCTATACTTACAGAACATATCTATCTATCTATCTATCTATCTATCTATCTATCTATCTATCTATCTATCTATCTATCTATATACTTACAAAATGCATATTTGCTTTTTTTATATTTACACAGGTATACGTTGACAAAACTGTTGCAACAACTTATACACTCACCTAAAGGATTATTAGAACACCTGTTCAATTTCTCATTAATGCAATTATCTAATCAACCAATCACATGGCAGTTGCTTCAATACATTTAGGGGTGTGGTCCTGGTCAAGACAATCTCCTGAACTCCAAACTGAATGTCAGAATGGGAAATAAAGGTGATTTAAGCAATTTTGAGCGTGGCATGGTTGTTGGTGCCAGACAGGCCGGTCTGAGTATTTCACAATCTGCTCAGTTACTGGGATTTTCACGCACAACCATTTTTAGAGTTTACAAAGAATGGTGTGAAAAGGGAAAAACATCCAGTATGCGGCAGTCCTGTGGGCGAAAATGCCATGTTGATGCTAGAGGTCAGAGGAGAATGGGCCGACTGATTCAAGCAGATAGAAGAGCAACTTTGACTGAAATAACTCGTTACAACCGAGGCATGCAGCAAAGCATTTGTGAAGCCACAACACGCACAACCTTGAGGCGGATGGGCTACAACAGCAGAAGACCCCACCGGGTACCACTCATCTCCACTACAAATAGGAAAAAGAGGCTACAATTTGCAAGAGCTCACCAAAATTGGACAGTTGAAGACTGGAAAAATGTTGCCTGGTCTGATGAGTCTCGATTTCTGTTGAGACATTCAGATGGTAGAGTCAGAATTTGGCGTAAACAGAATGAGAACATGGATCCATCATGCCTTGTTACCACTGTGCAGGCTGGTGGTGGTGGTGTAATGGTGTGGGGGATGTTTTCTTGGCACACTTTAGGCCCCTTAGTGCCAATTGGGGATCGTTTAAATGCCACGGCCTACCTGAGCATTGTTTCTGACCATGTCCATCCCTTTATGGCCACCATGTACCCATCCTCTGATAGCTACTTCCAGCAGGATAATGAACCATGTCACAAAGCTCGAATCTTTTCAAATTGGTTTCTTGAACATGACAATGAGTTCACTGTACTAAAATGGCACCCACAGTCACTAGATCTCAACCCAATAGAGCATCTTTGGGATGTGGTGGAACGGGAGCTTCGTGCCCTGGATGTGCATCCCACAAATCTCCATCAACTGCAAGATGCTATCCTATCAATATGGGCCAACATTTCTAAAGAATGCTTTCAGCACCTTGTTGAATCAATGCCACGTAGAATTAAGGCAGTTCTGAAGGCGAAAGGGGGTCAAACACAGGATTAGTATGGTGTTCCTAATAATCCTTTAGGTGAGTGTATAACAATGATTTGGCAAACTGTTTACACAAATTCATTCTGCCCATGTTTCATAAATTAAGCCCACTGGGCATTATTGGATAAACAATTAGATCAGAAATCAGACAACATAATTGCGAGGGTGAGGAAAACATTCATTAAGTACATCTCAGTGCACTCCGGGGCTTTGTTTTGACTGTCATCCCTTCACAGTAATATCTCAATTTAGTCCTGAGTCACTTTGTTTGGTTGATCCAATGCTTGACAAAATAATACCATCAAGCTTGACAAAATACCACACGTTCCCAATTAATGCTTATTAGTCACTTAACACTTATACACCAACTATTCTTATTCCACCAACAGTATCCTGCTTTACTTCAAGTCTTGACATGACAGAAAGAATCACATAACCTATGGCTCATTCCTTATACACTTGTCCGAGTAGACTAAATCTGTTATCACATATATCAACAGGTCCAAAAGAAGGGCAACCACTGCGTGTAAACACTGTTAAGTGGTGTGAGAAGGTCAGTGGATTATTCTGTAATGAGAGGGCTCTGCTTTAAGCTGCAAACTAAGCACTTTGTTTCAGCACTTTTCTTTTCTTTCTCTGTGCAATGAGCCATAGATCCAGATAAATCTGTGGAGAATCACAGATGGGTTTAATAAAGCTTAAGCATGACCCCTGCCCGTGTCAGATGCCAGAAGTGTGAGATCTTCTTCAACGCAGATTCTTATTGGCATCCACTTGTAAATATGCTGCTACACAAAGATCTGGTAACTTTCACTGCTAGGGTCAAATCATAGGTTTAATGAGAATAATATCTTTAGATCATAATTCTCATTTACTGCCATAAGGCTACAGGGCCTTTGTTTTGGAATATTGGAAACTTTTAATTGGCAAAACTTAAATTTGTAGCCTCTTTATAATATAACACAATAGGCCTATCATTTATTTTTGCAATAAATACAATAAACTACTGCTACAAAAGTTTGGTGCGAGTAATACTTTTTTTATTAATGCTTTAATTCAGCAAGAATGCATTAAATTGATCAAAAGTGACAGTAAAGACATAATGTTACAAAATATTTCAAATTTACAAATAAAGGCTGTTGTTTTGAATTTTGTGTTTATCAAAGAGATCTGAAAAAAATGTATCATGGTTTCCACAGAACAACTGTTTTCAACATTGATAATACAAAATGTTTCTTGAGCACCAAATCAGCATATTAGAATGAGTTCCGAATGATCATGTGACACTGAAGACTGAAGTTTATATATAAAATATATTTTTTATACATACACAATTTTATATGTAATAATAACATTTATCAAAAATGTGATAAATTCATATTTATTTAATATATCATTGTGCTCTAAGGTCACTTAAATCAGAAGAGCTAATCCTTATATTCTATATGCTGACACTCCCTTTATGGCAGATGAGGATATTTATGTCAGGAACAAAAGTGGATTTTTATTTAAGAAGGGCATCCTTGTATATCACTATGGAAACCAGCATTGACACAAATACAATAATACGCTTACATAAAGCACACTGGCGGTAATATGGTACAGTGATGGTTTCATACGGAAATTTCATTATACTTTTATATAAATTATGGTACCTGAATGATCACCATGGTATTGGTAAAATATGTCGAAAATATATATTGTTTGCTGACAGCTTTGCCTTTACACTTCTACCAGCACAGGACAAGGGGAATTATCCTCTAATGGATTGTTTGTTTTTCATATCCAGATGATCCATGATGTCTCATTCCTGCCCTTCTGTACCTTTGATTTCTTCACAATTAATTGGGCCATTCATTCATTATGCCAAAATCCCATTAATATTTTCCACTGATGTCAAAGATAATAAAACTGGAAGTCTTCAAAAGTCTGATAAGAATATAGGCTCTTTGTTTAGCTGGCGTCATGATGATTACGCTCACAGAGCTTTAAAAGCTTGCTTTCTTCAACATGACAGCACTGAATACAATAGAACTGAGTAATTGATTGTGATCCCTGTCTGTTTTGTAATTTTTACTGCAAAATCACCAAACTAAATATTCAAAGCACATCTGAATTTACTTTATTGTTAAAAAACTAGGAAAGAAAGACCTACAAAGTAATACAAATGTGTGTTTGAGGGGATAATAACATGGGTTGTTACATTTAATTAAATTATCTTGGACATAAATTCCATTCAAATATCTTAAATTAAAAAAAAGAATAACTAACACTGAAAATTAGAGTATGTGAAACTACCTGCTAAGACTCATTACTGTTCAGTGGGTATCACAGAGACATATGCATACTAATGAGTAAACACAAATACAATTAATTAAAACTAAAAATATCTTAAATAGTCTTCACATCCACCTCAATCACATAGCATAGTGATTTAGGTTGCTGTTCGACTTAATTAAATCCGTTCCCTATGGTCTCTCTCTCAAACTAATTATTGCTAACAGTCATGCACTTGGAATCACTGGTGTCCCATGATCCTTTGTGCCGTCGTGATGAATGGACTCCTCACATTCCATCATATAGCCTCTAATATTCTCACTGAACTAGAAATATGTGTTCAGCAGGTCTATTAGATACCTCAGCTTATGTTCTTCATGTAACTGATCTTAAACCCTGCAATAATGAAGCGAGGGGCTGAGGTATTAACTTTAAGTTACACTGCACCAACAGATCCGGATCAATTGACATTTCAAATTAAATACTTGTATAAAACTGCTCTGTTGATAAGTTAATTTACAAGTGTAATTAAATAAAGTGTGTAAAAAAATTGGAATAGTTCACCCAAAAATGAAGATTCTGTCTTGATTTTTTTTATATATTTTACACGAGTACATGAATGCAGACTATGAGCACTTGGACATTAAAGTGAATGTGCTCAGTTAATTTGTTATAAACACTGACTAGCTTGCTTACCAAGATTGTGGTTAAAGAGATAGTTCACCCAAAAATGAAAATTCTGTCATCATTTATTCACCCTCAAGTTGTTCTAAACCTTTATGAATATCTTTCTTCAACTGAACACAAAATATATTTTGAAGAATATGGGTAACCAAACAGTTGATAGACTCCATTGACTTCTATTGCTTCGGTTACCAACAAAATGTCTGGTTTGGTTACCATTTTCTTCAAAATATCTTCTTTTGTGTTCAGCAGAAGAAAGAAATTGATGCAGGTTTGGAACAACTTGAGGGTGAGTAAATGATGACAGAATTTTCATTTTTGGGTGAACTATCCCTTTAACCTGCCGCTCCTCTATGACAGTAGTCAGCCTGAAAGAGAAATCTGATCGTAAAAGCGGACAGATTTAACTATAGTGCCACTTGCATCAACGATGAGAGAAAGTAGTTGCGTTGGATAAGAAATTGTGGCCAAAACAATGACAAAATTATTCATTGGACCTAAAATTGGGCTTGGTGGTTGTTGCTTATGAGCAAATCTTTTTAGATTTATACTGACACCTAGTGTTGTGGATGCAGATTTACACAAAATCAAATGTTTTCAGTTATCAATACTATTGTAGTTACCAATGCCATTGTAATGCATTATCAGCCATCATTAACTTATTCCATTAGCAAAATTGTCCAATAACAGAGGCGTTACCGAGATAAAGTCAGTAGTAGCCTATTCAGCTGGTCATGTGATCTCAACATGGCAACCCCTAAATTAGTTTGAGCTACATATATAACTGAAATCTCATGTGTACACATGATTTTGCCAAAATGATTTTTTTCTGTGTAATGAGGAAAACATGTTTTACTGAGTGCACCTTTTAAGTGCGTTCTTCCTGTTTATTTGTGTGTGAGAATCATTTCAAATTCAGCCTCTAATGGTTTATGGTTGTGTGTTATGTAAAGTTACAGGAATGAGAATCGCTGTATTGATGCTTTAACCAAAATAGGGAAACTGTGTGTAGCTAAAGGCTGTGTAGAGTGGTATTATGATATTATTTCCCTGTATGGCATGATTGTGTAAACCGAAAGGCTCCGCACACAGGTATTGTTGCATTGTTTAGCTAACTGAACAGCCGTGTGTGCGTTTAGCTGAACGCTGGGTTGTGTGTTCCTGACAGAGGTGTTGGTGGCGTCCGTTTCCCCCTCAGCAGTGACAGAGACAGGATGAAGAAACACATGCTCATAACGCCAAGGATTGCGATGGCAGAAATCAAGGCACTCGTCACTGAATTCATTTTGAATGGAGGTCCGTTTAACTGTGCTGAAACAGACACACAAACACACAGTGTTAGGAAGACTTCAAACAATATGAAACCCACCGTTCAAATACTTATCACGCACTCTTTCTTTCAATCCTCTTGTTCATTTCTTGATAACACCACCTGCTTCTACCCTCTATTAACTTCTCACTGTTGGAAACCCTCCAACTCATCGTTATTTTGGTCATGGTTTTAAGCCGTGACATCCTTTGAGGAAAAAAACATTCCTCTATATTTTCAGGAGGGAGTAAGCGTGCCTTTATCCTCCATCAGAAATGCTACAGCTCTGAGATAGAAGGATTTAGCCTCCTTTTAAAAGAGCTAAAGTGGAGGAAAAAGGAAGCCTTACCTAGTTGGGAATTATTGGTGGGAGTTTCATCTGTGGACAGAGGAAAATTGTTTTAGTGAGATGGCACATTTATTCCCCAAAGACTAATTTAAAGTGCTAAATCATGTCTCATATACATAACAGGCTCACTTTGAGAGTTGAGATACAATAACTTACAGTGTACTCAAAGTTTACTTTTTAGCAGTTTCTCTGGGAATCATACCTGTGAGCTACTAGTTGAGCTACAAAAACACTACATTATAGTTCATATCGTACCACTTCTGGTGATGATGGGTCCAGCGGTCATGACGGCGTTGTCAGAGGCCACACCGGTTCTTTCCGATGTGTCCCTTTTCTTCCTCTTACCGCATATCTGTCAGGATGCCAATATTTGCGAGTAATAAATAAACACAGTTCCAACTTGAAGTTTCTTTGCTTTTATATTAAACAAAGTTATATTAAATAAAGGAAATTAAGCCTATTATTAATAACCAATTAACTTAATGTTTTCCTTTCAAATTCTAATTACTTTAACTGAGCTGTTTTTGTAATTCCCTTTATCCTCACTGGTGACTCTCATTATATTATCAGCATAAATTAAAGCCAGTAAAACCAAAACTGCATGACGCATATATAATATTTGCAGTTTAAATTTATTTTCACATTAAAAAAAAAGAAAGATTATTTGCATTACTGTAATGTCCTTTTTGTTTGTTTGTATTTTCTATATTTACTTCTGAAGGATCTCGTGACACATGTAAGACTGGAGTAATGGCTGCTGAAAATTCAGCTTTACCATTACAGGAATACATTATATTTAAAAAAAGATTAAAATAGAAAACTGATTTTTTTAATTGTAACAATATTTCACAATAATGCTATTTTACTGTATTTTTGATCAAATAAATGCAGCCTTGATGAGCATAAGAAACTCCTAAAAAAAAAAAAACTCCCCAAATAAATAATTTATATAAATAAATAAGTAATTTAAAAAATAATGAAAATATTGTCACAATTTGAAACAAACATTTTGAAAGTCATTTTCTTTGATTTATTTCTTCAGGTTTTAGGGTGAAGTATGACCCCGACATGTTGACACGTTTCACCCTAAAGCAGCCATACTTACAGGCAAGAGCAAGGGGCAGTCGTCAGAGCGACACAGCTTGGTGACGCAGTGCAGAAACACAGTGGACATTTTCTGGTTCTTGTGCTTGACAAAGCGGAACACCTCAAAGGAGAAGCGGCCCATCTGACTCTTCCCGTTCTCAAACACTGTTGTCTGCGGGTCCTTATCGCATCTGCTGGACCAGAGACAAGATACACTTAGCATTCAGCTTTAGTTCTGCTTGTATACACCCACATATGTGCAAGCAAGCACACCCTCATATCTGAAGAAAACATGGAATTACCCAAAGAAAAGGTCATATCGGAGTTCATCATTAGGATTCCCAGAGGGGGTCGTGTAACAGTAGTCCATCAGAACGTTCCACCTGTGGAGAGTGACATGCGTGAATCAGTCACTAAAACATGGATGCTTGAATAGGAAACCGCCCTATACGACCAAACCACTGTTGTTTCATATAGAAGTCTTATCTGTACTCGGGACCCATAATAATCTTTCCCATTCATTTTAGTGGCGCCCTTCCCTGGCCCTAAACAAGGCCGGCATTGAGTCACTCAGCATTCTTCCTTTAATTGGGTAAACTAGTTCTGGATCTATCCGATATAAGAGAGGAGGTCATTTAGGGAAGTGCTCTAACAATGCAGTGAAAGTCCAAAGACCATGTGTCTGTCTCAATTTACATTTGACCTCCATCAAATCGTTCAGAATGCAGTATCTATCAACAATATTAGTATGTTGGGCCTCCTTGCAAGATACTCTTCTAAGATACGTTTGTGTAACTGTAGTTTACCTCCTGTCTAGGTTGGTTGCTTTTACGGCGGCGAACACTCGTGTCTTCAAAGTAAGTCCAGACATTGGGATGGCAAGATGCTGGATGTATGTGGAGTCCTTAAACATTGAACATCACAGGTTAGGATCCCACACACGTTTGCTGAAAAATTACTAAATTATTTGCTCCAAAAATATAGAAATAAGAAAAATACAGAAATAAAACAAAACATACACCACACACATGCATTTTATATATATATGCGCATGTGTGTATATATGTATGCATGTATATATATATATATATATATATATATAAACCGCTATATACAATAAATAATAATACATTTAAATAAATATTATATTATTTATATATTCCTTAAAATCATTTAAGAAATAAAATATAAATCATTCTTATTATTATTATAAACTGTTTAAGAAAAAACTTTGGAAGTCTCTACTATAGAAATGAGCGAAATATAGCAAAAAAACTAAATTGAGCCATATCAGACATGGACTGGTCACATTCCACTATTTCAATAATTATTTCAATAATTATCAACAACAGAGTAACAATATTTAGTTTAGGTATTGAGCACAGTGCAAAAGACGTAGATAGATCTCTATGTATGGCTTAATTAAAAATGATACTGATGTTCTACATGTACTCACGTTGTATAGAAGTAAATTCAACGTGCTCACAAAAGTGCCATTGCTGTCCTTCACTGATATCGCTGCAGCTGACCTTCGAACAAAAGAATCTATTAAAACATAATAAATATATTTTGCAGGCCAATTAAGTCTGAAAGGAAAACTTGTGTAATAGTTTTTCCTGATTTACTGTCTGATGTCCTTGTAATCAACCGTGCATTAGGTTTTACAACATATTCTTGTGCATTCTAATTTAATTATGCCTCACAATTCAGCCCATTAAATCTGAACAATGAGTGCTAAATATTTTACAACATGCAATTTGTTACCTTTTTATCTTCCCTCAAAATATTGTGAATAATTTAGCTTGGATCTTTTTTAACAAGGACACAATAATGCATTGGTTTTGAAATGCAGTACTGAATATATAACGTCATTCTACAGTGATGAAGCCGACTTACGAAGCAAGCTGTGTGTTGTTGACCAGGTATTCCAGTGGGTAACTACAACTGAACTTGTAAAGCAGTCCTGGTAGGTAGCTGATGACCGTTGGGGGATCCGGAGTGTCAATGTATCCAGCTATATTCCCAATCTGAACCAGGGAAAGATTCCCATATGCGTTGGGCCCCTGAGCTGTTGAGACCTACAGACACAGTGGCACTAAACTGTGATTGCTCTTCCTGAAACTAATGTCCCTTCACCTCCATAATCCTCAGCCTTTTTATCAATGCCGGATCTCTGCCGTCACCAAACCAAAGATAAATCCACCTCACCACAGATGTTCTTCATTTATAACTGTCATAGAGAGAAAACTGTCTTTCCAAACACAAGCTGTTTTTTAGCATTTACTGTAACAAATGTGTTTTCCTACTAATGACTGAACCTGAAAGGAAAGTTCTGGGTCCTTTAAGGGATATGCTAATGTGAGCAAATGATTGTAGGCCGTTGAAAATTGTGAAAACAGGTGGTTTCTTACCACCAGTGCGTTTCCGCAAGCCTCCAACGTGCTGAGACTGATGCTGAAGAGCACAACAGTTGGGAACGTGTTGTTGTTGATGAACCCTCGGCAGTGGGCATCACCGTGACGCCCGTTCAGTGCCAGGTCGGTGTCGGTGTAGCCAGAGAAAAGCACCGGGCAAAAATTAATCTTCAGCGTAATGGTTTGCACTCCACAATACACGCTGATGTCCCGCTCAGCTGTTGAGAGAGAATGAGATATAATTAATTACGTGTCACCGATTAAAGCTTGCACAAAAAAAGAAAGACCTCACTCACCGGGGAAGCGGCTGTGAAAGTTGGCATCGCAGTTGAACCCATTGAATTGCGCATTGACTATAAAAGTTTTACTTACAAGCAAAAGAATCACACACAAACGTTCCATTTCAGCGCCTGAGAAAGACAATGTATGAGCAATTTCTTTGGATTCATCAGAAGATGCTTCTTTTTCTGAAATCAGAGAAGAAATGCATGATTAGACTCTCTTCAAAAGGTAATTTGACTGCATTGTTCTGTAATTATGCTATTAAATTAGAAAAAAACGGATAGAAAATGAGAAATCTGATACTTTAGTTGGTGCTTCTGTTCAATTTGAAACCAATAATGAACGTAAATTGCTTTGAAGTGCTATTGCACAAACTTTGGGAACAAATCGACTCACCTCAATTTATATATTCAAAAAGCTGCAAATCTATTCAAACAGATTCACTTCCTGTAGGCATTTGTTAGTATGATGCTTTTACACAGAGTTCTGCGTGTTTCACCCTGACCTTGGTCCACTTTTGCCCTCCGTCTGCTTTAGCATCCCTCGCTCCGTTTCGGAAGACTCACCCGTTTCCCTGGCAGCTGTAGAATCAGCGGTACTCCATCTGTTCTCGGCTGTGGCGCGAGACTGACTGGATTACCCAGCATCCCGGCAAAACAACTAGAAACACGGCCTTGCTCTGATGAAAAAAAATTATAAACATAAGAGATTCATTATTTGAACACGTCAACAGCAAAAGCGCTGTCTGGGGGAACATGGGAAAGTCCATCAAAAGTGAATGTGTTATACAAATCCTTTCACAGGCCCAGAAACATGAGCAGGTTTTGAAGTTTCCCACTCATATCCTTTCTGCTTGATCTTGCTCTGTCAGCGCTCACAAGTGGCCCCACGCCGCATGTGGTCTGGGAGGGGGGAATTATCTTTTCATCGGCTCCGGGACTGGGCTCGTCGCTGACTGAGCTGGCCTTTCTGTGTGCCAGGACGGTCTGGGTCGGGACCAGGATTGTCTGGACGCTTTAGATGCTTTGTTTGGCCCGGCTCAGTCAGCACTTCCCCAGCCGCCTCCCATGATGGTCTCCCACCTGTCTGGCCGTGACCCCCCCTTTCCGACTGCTACCCTTGGCCTTACGTCAATTGTTGGCTAATGTATATGAGAATCTATATCACAAAAATGTGGTCTTCTTTGAATAAACACTCATGTTTCCATTTTCTGCATACTTCTAGTGATGATTGCCTGTTCCAACCCTTCCAAATTTATAGCAGACTAATATTTCATCAAATTAGCTGCCATTTATACATCATCATTTTTAAAATGCCTTTAATCTGCATGATTAATTGCCTTGTAAATGTCTCTACGGTCCATCATTGCAGCAAAAGGGGAAACTTGAATGATGTCATTGTCCGTTCTTACCTGATTAATCAAAGCTCAAGATGCTCGGGCTGCAGGCCAGCTCCAGCTGCAATACATCATCAGAAAAGTCGCTTGTCAATCTGTGCAAAATACAATCCAAAGGAGAAGAATTTTCAAAACTATGCAATACCATCCCAAACTGTTCAAATCCTAAATCATCCTCGGATATTACAGAGACACGAATCGGATGAAGCTCTGAGCCCCTTCGGCTAGAACTCTGACGAAGTTTGCCTCACGTCTTAGAATTTCTTCAGATGGAAGGGATTGTGGGTAAAATGGAGCTGTTGGTCTATAGCGGGGCAATTCAGTAGCCTACTTGTGATAAGTATCTCTATTTATGCGCTTCCAGCAAATGTCATTCTTTCATTTTTCACACTTGAATGTCTCTATATGGCAGGCTATAGTGCTGTTTATCAGTGTGGCACAATCTCATTCACCTTGGCAAGATATCAGGGCAAGCAGAACTGTAAGGATTTCCACATCATGTATTATTGCATTTACACTCTAGGATAGCATTTGAGACAATGGAAAATAATTAGGCATTCTTTTAACATCTTCAATTTATTAAATAAAATTAAGCTGTGCAAAATAAAATTATTTATTTATTTATTCTTTGCAAAACGGCATCCTTGGATAATATAAGCCTTTTAAAACATTATAGGCTATATACGTTCTTGAATGTTTGACTAGCTGTTCATTGCTCAATTAATGGGTCTAGAACAATTACAGGATGGTTTTATAGTTTACAAATGTGTTTTGGGCTCATTTTAAACACTAAGTAGAATGATGAAATGGCCTATCGGCAGGAATTGTGCTTACGAACACAATTATACCTTATCGCAACACAAGTATAGGCACAAAAATAGGCTGTATCTATTTTTATTTGGGCGGCATTTGGTCTTGCTTCATTTTCTTGTATTATATTATTTATTTGATGACTTTATTCAGAGTGCAATGAATAATGTGGGTCATTAGGAGGTTAGTGAGAAAGTCAGTAATGCAATATGAAACCGAAAATAACAGGAATGACAATGGCATATCTAACCTTTCTTGAGGTCTTTAGTGTAACCAACAATAATATTTGATCACCCTCTCTTAACAGAATACTATCTGCATATCTTGTATCATAAATCAGAGTAAAGTTTCTGAGAAAATTCATGACTCTTTCTTAGCAGGGTACAAGTAATTAGTGTTTTTCTACTTGCCGTGTGAAATGCCATCAGTTGGCTGACAAGCAGGTGTCAGGCCCAGTGCATCCTGCATGGAATTAGGAACTATGAGCAATCTGTCTCTGGTTGACATGGCTATCCGGCAGACAGGATACGTCTGGTCTAGGGAGAAGCAGAAAAAAAGCAAAAGAGGAATTTTAAACAAGGGAATACACTTTTGGTGGCATGCAAACCACAAGTTGTGTTAATTGCCTCTGTCTCAAGAAACACATGTGACTGATGAAAACAAACTGAAAGTCCATGAAAACAGAAACTAAAAACAAACAAAACTGAGTGAGTGTGACACAAAGATTCGGTTTGCGTTGTTGCTTAATTGTACCATGTTTATTCATAAGGGTTTTTAACTGGAGGCACAGTTAATTGAAACTTATTATGATGTAAATTTGATTTGAAATCTTACTGAAATGATTTAAGGCCACAAATTGGCTGTTAATGTTGCTAAAATGACCAACGTTTCGACGCACATGCGTCTTCTTCAGAGTCAAACTTGGGTCAACCTTGGGTCCTTTCTCTATAAGTTATCCCTAAAATCAGAGGGAAATGATAGTGAATAACGCTGATGTAGAAGCACCTAACCCTGGTTGTAAGCCTAAACTTGACATAAACGGCAAACTTGTCCCTCAAATCTGATTGGTGGATTGGAATGTTGTTCCAGGATCAACAAAGATGTTGATCCAGGAACATATTGCACTTGGTGAAATCAGGTTCTGCAACATATGGACGGATAACACAGCTGAAATAGTTTCAAAATGTTCACCATGTTTCTAATATGGAAACAAGTCAGCTGTGTGCAGACCGAGAGATGGAGTGTGAAAAAGAGAGAGGAAAGTCTGTCAGTGACAGGACTATGCATGGCCTCTGTCGGGTACAGTGCAGATGAAAATGTCTTTTCTCTTTTCTGTAGATTGTATTGTCTGTCACAGCAGCCAACTTGGTTACCTCCTGTTAACTGTTCCTGTCAGCAAAGAGAACATTGCTTGTCATCTATGTAAGCCTTCATCCAACACAGAAACAGTTATATCTGCTGTTGAATAGGGTCATATAGCACATGCTATAATAAAAAAAACATATCCATGTCGAGCATCTGACATACTGTATATATCACTTTTCTCCTCACACCCTTCTAATGACCCATTTTATAGACTGTAAAACATTATATGATCAATAAGTTATAACAACATATGTTTTTACATTGCTTTAACTCATTAAAGCAGATTAAGCTATTTGCAACTTTTTTTTTATAAGTTATACAAGATTCAAATCATTTTTAAGTCAGTAATGCAATTTAAGCTGAAATGACTTAAACATCCAAGTTGATTGTACTTAAAATTTTAAGGCAGCAACTTTTTTTTCACAGTGTAGTTGTCTTTGAGGTAAATCTATTTCTTTAAATGTTCAGTTTCACAATTCAGACATTTCTATTAAAAATAAATGTGAATATGTTTAGTGAAATACATGACTTTCGCAAGGTTAACTTAAGAATGCTTGAAGCAATAATTTTAGGTCAGAATGAATACACAATATTAATGTACTTAATCTTAATCTGTCCCTTTGAATTAATCAGATCAGGTTCGATAATATGATTAATTAATTTGTCATTTTTTCATTGTTTTATAAATAATAAATTGTAAATAGTCTATATCGTATTAAATACAATTTTCTTACATTTTTTTTTGTTTTCATTTATAAGGGTTTATACTGAGCACTACTGTGTAAAAAGCACTCTGAAGCGGGGGGGGGAGTTTATAGTTCAATCACTGCTGGACAGCGTTTGAGGAAACTTTTGTGCATGTGAGAGATCTCTATTGGACTAAACAGACAGAAAAGCTGTGTTTCTGGTCCCAGGTGGCAGAAATCACAGGATGCCTTATTGTTCATGTGTGAAACACAAGCCATGTGGTATTCAGACCTGAGGGACACACCTTTTCATTATGAGCCATATCTATAACCAGCTCTCTCCTCACAGACAGAGATTCATAAAAACAGCATACAAAATATCAGTGTGTCAGGATTGTAATGCAAGATCTCAAAACTCAGTATCCGCATTTTTAATAATAATAATTCATATTATATGATAAAAATAATTATATGAAAAAAAACAAGGTGACAATAAGGCAGATAATAAAAGCTGATAACATTTTGCATAGATTACATGTAAAAGGATCCCCAACCTTTTTAATACTACTACTACTACTACTAGGCCTACTACTAAAATAAAATAATAATACAATAATTAGTAGTAGTAGTATAAACATAATTATTTAATATAGAAAATTATTGTCAGTACTTTGCAGATAATAAAAGCTATTATCATTTTTGAGTAGATGTCAAAGTATCCTGAAAGTTAAAGATAATACTTGTGCAAAATATAAATATAAACTATTGAACTTTCTATAATAAGGTATAGATATCAGTAATAATGATAATAACAATTATTATTATTTTTCTAAAACTTATATATTATGATTATTTTAAAATTGGTGTAACAGTAGTAAATAGAAAATAATTAAAAACGGCATTTTTCTATATAATTATTATTTAGGGTATTGTTTTTAATAATAAAAGCTATTAGCATTTGGTGAAGATTGCATGTCAAAGGATCCAGAAAGTTATATATTATAGCCTATGTATTATGTAAAATATAAATACAAACTCGTGAAATGTTGTTCAGAATTCTGGTAGAATATGTAGGCCTACTGTAAATAGAAAAAGATGACATGCACCTGCGATCTCTCAAATGGATGTTGTCAAGATGCTCTTGAAAGTTTGTGAACAAGGACATAGAAACCTGCATGTGCATATCGCCCTCTACCGGTAAGACTGCTACACAATGAACACTGATGCCACCTGTGCAATACTGATGATATAAGTCAATCTGCTCGGCCCATTTAACACAGACGAGCCTCGTCCTGAAACCGATCAGTGCTTTTGGCATTGTGCATTAGTGGCTCATTCAATCTCTGAGACCTTCCCATCTCCTTTTCCTCAGTTTGAGTTCTAATTACACCAGTGAGCTGAATATTGGGATGCTTTACAGCAGTGTTTCTCAACCTCTCCTGCAGGGACCCCCTGACAGGCCATGTTTCTGTTTTAACCCTGAAATGGCACACCTGATTCAAGTCATTAAAGGCTTAATGAGTAGTTGACTAATTGATTAATTGAACTATTCCTACTCTAATTACTCATTAAGCCTTTAATTACTTGAATCAGGTGTGCCATTTCAGAGTTAAAACAAAAACATGGCCTGTCAGGGGG